TGAATCTTGTGCATAATAGAGGATGGCAATAGGTCCTGGCTTGCTCTGTAGTTTGTGGTGGCTCAACACATTTGCATCTTGCAGTCCTAACCATCAGGGATCTGGCTTCCTTATTCCTGTGTGAAGTCTATTGAGAGTTGTCACTGTTGTCTGGGGAGGTTGGATCGTATAACTTATGTGGTTTGGGGGTTAATTAGGTGACCTAATTGAATAAATGGCTAAATGTATATTTGCAGATTTTAAACATCTCAAATAATATCAATTGCCATCAGAAATAGACCAAATTAGTCGGGTCCAATGATGTCCCAGATATCCTGCCTCTTGGGTATAAAACAATTTTAAAAATCGCATGCTATAGAAAACAACACCATGGATATTGGCCCCTTTCAAAATTTGTGAGTGCTAGTTTATTAATAGATTTGATTGATTAATTGATTGATTGAACCGTTTCGGATGTCTATGTCGTTTATAAAAATGTATTGAAGTTTGCAGGGAAAATACACACATTATTTATGAATAGGTCATAGATTCATCAGAACAAATTTGATTGACTTTTTATTTACATTTAGAATGAAAATATGAGCTTGACAGGCCAGGCTAGGCCCATCACTTAGGAAGGATACTCTACAATATGTAGTATGATCATGGAGGTATAAAATAGTGATCCAAGCCATGGCTGTTGCCAGCATGAGGCAGATTGCCTTATCTGGATTTTTCTTACATTTGTTTAATTTTTCCCAAGAAAATTTAGTTCATTTTACTGCAGGCCCAGGTTACACTGATTAAAAATTTTCTAGACGAGTGTTGTTTGCATATATTTTAGCTCTGTCACTTTGTGGGACCTTAGCAACAATATCCAAGGGGCGTGGCTTAGGGGAAAGGTCCATTAAATTAAGAAGTGTTCAGTTTTATAAATCACAAGAGTTCAATCAGCATCTGCACTGGCTAATGATGGTCTGTAGTGAGCAAAAATGGCTGAGGCAAAGCAAAATTCTGGGGAAAGGGGTAGTATTGCAGCTTGGAGGTTGGGGGCATACACAAGGCACATAAAATACACTCACATATTCTTGGCTCTATTTTGATTGGCCAGTTAAGTTTGATTGACACTCCGGAAAGATCCATTATTCTGTTTTTTTGTTTTTTTTTGTTTTTTTTTTGTACAGTCTATAAAATCATAATCACCACCATCCCATACTCTTAGTACTTCCAGTATGGGAAGTATAGCAAAGTAGAAATGATAGTTATATCATTATGTTCAGAGATTTACGATCGCCATAACTATTAGCAGATGTTAATGGAATGTCTTTTTCTCAAATCTCTCTCCCTAGGGATGTAACATGCCTATGTTTGTGAGGGAGGAGCATTCCATTGGGAAGTGTGTATGTTTGTTGTTGTCCCCAGACAGGTCCCCAGACAGGGTCCCCAGACAGGAAACTCGGCAAGCTCTTGTTCCTTGGCCAACTAAATATTATAATGCTCCACTCTCGCGTTCTCGTCTTGATTCTCATGGCACCCCGCTTTTTCCTTCTCCAGTATGTTGGTTAATTTTCATACTACAATGTAGAACTTGCAAATGTCAACATTTATTTAGTATTTTTGGTAAATTGTTAATTAACCAATCAATAATTATTATGGATTTTAGATTCACTTTCATTGGCTAATATAACTATGTAATTATCTTTATTCACTATTGATCTATGAATAAAAATGGCTGTGTTGGGCCAAATAAAATGAATTGCTAGCCTTGCATCCCCGCTGTCATCTAATTTTGGAGCCTCATAAAAAAATTTGCAACAGGTCTTCCTCAAATTAAAGATGCCTCCAATTCAAGACCACTTTTCTGTGGTCCTAAATTAACAAATGTCTTTTATTTGAAGACAATGAAAACCCTGGTCACAAAAGTGGACATTAATTGGAGGGCAACCTGTATTTGCTATTTCCAAAAAAAAAAAAATAAACAATGATTTTTCCATGGAAAACAAATATAATGATAATCTGAAAGATTTTTGTCAAAAGCCTAAGAAATGGTAGAAACAAATGGCTGGAATACATTATTTTATATACTATAATCATTTTACTTTTTAAAAAATTAATTATTTACTAGCCTGTTTACCTCTAGTATGTAGGATAGCAAATAGTAAATATCCATAACAAAAAATAATTTCAAATCCTGGACTTAAAACTAACAATTAATAAATTTTATTTTTTGAAAAGATGTTTCATAATTTGCCATTTAAAAAAGGGACGAATGACAAATTCTAACATCATGCTCTTTTTTCTAGGTATGCTACACATTTTTCTTCTTTCTTTTTTCATTTTCTCTTTACAGTACTTTTTCATTCTGATAAAATAGTATTCTAACGGGATCCTTACTTATTTTGTCTAGGAATCTCTGTAATTAATTTAAATTCATACTTCTAGTATTTTACGAAATTATGTATGTAAAAGAATGGCCGAGTGGTTAAGGAAGGGACACCGCATCCTACAGCCATAATATCGGCGCTGGTTCAAACGGCACGCTCGCCTATGTTTCTGGAGGTGGAACAAGTCTTCTCGGATAAGGACTCCAAACCATAGGCCCAGTGTACACAATTGGCTCATGTGCACTTTAAAGAACCCAGTACATCTTTCAAGATGAGTAGGAGGTTACCCCGGTGTACTGGTCCATACATCCCCTGTTGTCTTGTGATGGGATTGCCACTTTGAAAAGTGATTTAGTTCACTGTTTGGCATATCCTTGGTGCTAGTGCCTAAAGCTGAATAAATAAATAAATAAACAAATATATTCCAAGTAAATCTATTTCACAAAGTTCATTACATTACATAAACAAGACATTAATACAGGGTTGACTAATAGCAAAATCTTTGGTAAAAGGTCAATAAAGAGAAATAGGTTCTTTCCTGGTTTTTTTCTCCTTTTCTAGCCTATACCTAGAGTGGCTTTTTACATTTTATTTGGTGAATTCAATAAAAAAAAAAAAAAATAGAAAAAAAAGACAACATGAGGGCAACACAGTAAATAAATTAATATGATGGATAAAATAATTATAATCTTCAGTATCAAGCCTGTCTTTCTCTGTTTTATTTATAGATTTTATTATTTTATTTATTTGTTTATTTTGTATTTATTTTATCTTTTGTTTTGTTTTAAGTTTTGCTACTTTGCTACTGTGGAAATTTTTATCAAATGTTTTCATGCAAGCGATGCTCAGTTAACTGTGAAATTTAATTTTATTCCTTCATTAATTCATTTCCTTTTAATTTAAAGTTGTTTAGTTTTGAAATTATTATTAAATAAGTCGTATTTTATTCTAATTGTAATCTCTTGATTGATTAAACTGTTTTGAATGAAAACAAATATCAATATTATTTAATTGAAATAATTAATATTTGTACTGGTTCAATGTTAATTGTTGTATCGAATGCCAATTTAATATTTTGTGCTTAATCATGTATTCATTATTTTTCTAAAGTACCAATCGGTATGTGGTGTCCAAAAATTCGCCGACGTGGGGGGGGGGCTTCCAAAATGTCCGACAGGAAGTCCAAACAGTGTGGCCTCAGTCATGGTCAAGGAATAAAAATTTCTGGTATTGTTTACTGAGAGAGAATTTATGGATTAGTATGTCCCAAATTGTGTTTTAGACCTTGAATGGCAAATTGTTATTTTTGGTAAAATGACCTTATTGTGGCATTGGACGATTGGGGTCTAGGCCGCATGCGTCCAGGCCTCTTCAAGGGAAGGGGTGGGAGAAGAAGCACTTCCAAGAGATCTTATTTAAGGAGCTTTCTTAGGACATCTTCAGTGTTTGCAACAAAGTTAATAATAATAATAATAATAATTAATGTATGGGAGATGGGCTAATGTCTGGAAGATGTTTGGTGCTCAGGGAGTGTTGGAGACGTTGGATTTGCAACTATCGGAGAACTTGGGACCTCTATAATTAAGAGTAGGCCTAACCTATTTTAGGTCATTTTAAGCTGTTGTAAGCTGTATGTTGCTATTATTTATGATTATTTTAATGATTATTAATTATTACTATTTTAATTATTATATATTATATTTAGTATAATAATTTGGATGTAATTAAATGTTAATAATGATAACTACTGCAGTAATAGTAATAAGTTAGTTTTGACTTGTAAAATATCAAAGTAAAATATGTGAAGGTTATTTGTAAAATAAAAGCATCCAATTATTATTCATGTTCCAGTCAGTTTTAATTCTAGAAAATAAACCGTCTCCCTTCACAAACTTGTAATATCTCCCCATTCATTAAAAAGCGATGAGTTTAACCCCTGACCTGACATTCAAATCATACCCGGCATTTATTTTCAAGTACATGGAGTAGTCCATGTTTATCTTGACATAAAAGAGAAGATTTTCAAGTATCAAAATGTTCTTGGGCTTAATATGCTATTTGAGATATAATTCATCAGGTGACTCGTGCTGTTGTGGGCAGCTTTTCTTCTTGCCCATCTTGTTCCCTTGATATGCAATACCTTACATGCTATATATTCCTTTTTGCTGTACTAAACTTTCTGAAGAATTATTTTTGTTATCTGAATTGATTCTGCTCACTACAGAAACCTTTCACTTCAAATCTGCTAGTTCCACTGCGGTAAATTGTGTATATATATTACTTAAGTTGTTCTGACATAATGTTATAAAGTATACAGAAAGTTTTGCTTTTTAAAATTATGTTGTGTTTCTCGTTCATAAAATTATTAGAATTTAATTGAGTAATAGAGTATTTTTTTCAGTTACTGTTCTTTTAAAAATGTATAGGATTTGAATATCGCTCTACACAAAGCTGGATGCTGATGCAGCCTCCCAAAAAGGAAGTATTTTGAAGTCATCTTGAAAAGCCTTTATTCACAAGCAGGCATGGCAACAGAAAAATATACATTGTTGTCCAAGATTGTTAATTTTGAATAACACACCTTCTTCAGGATTTAGATGCAAATACATTCAATAACTTTATCTTTTTTTCCCACAGTAACATGGATTAATTGAGGGATGAGACACGGCATGATCTGGACCGGATGATAACACCATGATCTGGATAAGACACCATAATCTGAAACGGAAGAGAGCACCATAATCTGGACTGGATAAAACACGCCATGATCTGGACTGTATGATAGCATCCTGATCTGGACATGATGATAACACCATAAGTAATAAGGTTTAAAAGAAAAGAAAAAGTGTTGCATTTTACTTTACTACATTCAGACATTTGATTTTAGTTTACTATCTTATATTTTGGGAAAATGGAACCATATTGTTTTTTAACCAATCAAAGCTATTGAAAGATTAATCCTGCTCATTAATTACGTTTGTTGTAGTGTGTTATTTAGATTATGTTAAACATTAATTAATATATTCTGAAATAATTAAAATTGTATTTGTAAAATCAACAGTACCTAAGTAATGGATTTAATAATTGGTCAATCACATGATCAACTTTTAGCCAATCAAAACACTTATTGTTAAAAAAAAGTCATGTTAATGCCAATTAATTTAAAGGATGTTCTGCATTTTTGTAGAAACAAGATTGAAGTTTGTTATTGTTGCAACTCTTTCTAGTTTCGATGACAAATTTTCGTTTTTGTAAAGCTAAAATGGAAACGGAGTACTTACTTCGTTCTGAGTAAGCACTACGTTTCCATTTTAGCTTTACAAAAACTTTTGATCTATACAATTCTTGAAGCTAAATGAAATTCTTTCAAGTCTTTCTAGTTTGTTAATAAGTGCCCGAGAATGATACCAACTTTGTTTTAATCCAAGCATGGATGGAATAACTTTTTTTTCTGTATCTTGTGACAGGTTCCCCACCTGTACTGAATTTTGTCCAGTCTTGTTTGCAACAGATTTGATTATCTTGGGAAGTGGAACCTTCCGTGAATTTCCACGGCTCCCTTGTTTCCCTCCCCTCTTGTTAGCAATCGTAGTTTTGGCAGCTACACCAGTCACATGGATTTAACACTGAGCTTTTAAAAACAGGACGTTCACTACAACACGTTTTCCACCCAGCATTTCATATGGTAAATAAAGTGAAGAGTACACATACGATTTAAATCAGACCAGTCATAGAATAGATCCCGTGGGAAGCTGTTATCACACATTTCGCAAGTGTCAGCCGTTAGAAAGTTCATAGGATCCTACAAAGCTAAAAGAAATCTGATGATTTTATTATTATATTAAGGAATTGTGTATCATGACTTAGCATTATAATTGCCCTTTATTTCCTTCACAATTGTGATGCAGAAAGAATTACATTATCGACTTAAATTTATTTTTGATTTTTTTTCAAAGAAAATTTATGCCTAACTATTTTCAAAATCTGGAATAGTGTAGTATAATCATGTTGAAAGATTCCATCCTGGTTTTCATTAATATTGGAAATGTATGTTTAAAGGGCTTTGGAGTTATTCTTTTTAGTTTAGTAATGTTTGTGACTCTGATAATGTTAAATTTGAAGTTGAACCAATGAGGAAATAACATTACTAGAGAGCACATTTGCTTTAAAGCAAATTATAAGTGAAACTTGGTGTAAATTTTTTGTATTAAATCTGGGTGACATCAAGAGACATTTACCTGTGTAATGATGCAAGGAATGGAATTGTTGCTATAGTAACATCAAGCAGAGTAGACAACTGTTGTGACCACAATTACTTACTCAATCACATAGCTAAATATCACAGGTAGGAGTTTTTAACTGGAGGCAGAAATGCAAGATAAAGATAGAGCACCACTTTTGTAAAGAGAACCTCTTCATTTCCTCTGGGTATGGTGGACATAATTGTGGTGATTCAGTAACCCTTGTAGTCAATACCTAACTCCATACTTATAACAGAACACCCTCTCTGGTTTCAATATTCTGACAACAAGGTGTCTTGAATGAACTAATATTATAGATTGCTGCTACAGCATACATCTGTGAAACAGGTGCTAAAATAAACCATCTCTTCGGACATCACAGAGGTATAATTTTATACCCAATATAGATTCAAGTTGTATCTCACTAAGCGGTTAAAGTTCGTTTGGTACCATGGGAATATGTTTGTTAGTTTTAATAAAACACTCCAAAGATGATTCTCAGAAGCTTAATTAATGTACATGCTTGTGTAATTGATAAATAAAGTAAACTACAAAATCTTAATTTTGCTGTTATTTTTTTAGTTGAAGCATGTGTAACCAATTAAGATGATATCTGATAGTCTTTTTAATCAATTGTTTATGAAAGTTAATTTATTTAACCTTTACTGAAGGGTTTATAAATAGTTGTATTTCATCATTCAAATGGGTGAGAGTAAAATAGTTTACCCTTTATGTCAATGGAACCGTTAAAATGTATTTTTGATGACATAATTATACTATGTTTATTATTTGAAATGTAAAGGAATTTAAATGAAATACAAGTATAGATGTTCAGTTACTATAGAGGGCGCCCGACCTTTTTGTTGTATATCAGCTCTAATTTATAGCCATTTTTGTGCGCTACTGATAGATCGTATTGTATGTTTTAAGACATTAAAAATTATTATTAACAAGTGTCTTATTTTTTCGGAAAGTGAGCGATAAGCTTCAAATGAAAAAAAAATTCCTGTCTTATGTTAATTGAATATATGATAATGAGACTCTCTTTAGCTACGAAGTCCTATTGAACATGATTAAGAACATTTCTTGACTTTGGTCTATGTCGTGCTAGACTTACCTTTGTTAGGCTTTTGCTTTTGGTGGATTTTCAATTAAATTAAAGGGGTCTTTTACTTACGTGTGCGCCTTATGGTTGCCTGTAGTGCGCGTCTAACATGTAAATGAGGCTATGCACGTCACAGCCACTCAGGATTGGTTAATTTGTGTAAAGGGATAGCGTAGTAGACCCAAAATATTACATGACGTCAAATCATCACTAACGTTATGCAGAAGACATATTATTTTCAATGTCGCCACTTCACCAGTTTGTCACCAAGTAACTTGATCAGAAATCTGGGTTAAAGTGTACTTAAACATTACTAATGTTTACCCGTTTATTGAAGGGATATTTTTCAAAAAACGTATATCGTTCGTGACCTAATATATGAGGGACAGTTTAGTAATAGAGAGTTCCGTATGATTTTAAAACATTCATAAATTTAACTCGGTGGTTTAATTTTCCACTGAAGAAAATCGTTAAAAATGTGTCATGTTTTCATTAAAGCCTCAGGAAATTTTGATTTCGTGTATACCACCGATTTGCGCAAGCATTAATTTCTAGAAGAAAAATAATATTCATGAGGCTGTTGAAACAAATAGAGTTGTATTATATTGTATTGTATGGTAATTAGTGGTAAATACGATTTATAATGGTACAGGTTATCGTTATAATGATTATGGTTTGTAAACTAAATTATATATAACTAAAATGCTGCAGTACATAGTGATACTTTGTAAAGAGATAGCGTTAACAATTTCGCTATATTAGAAAATCGTATATATTTGATGACTAAGAAATTAATGCCTTGTACATTTTCTAGATCTGTTGTTTTATATCCTTAGTTTTGTGCCGTGAATCGTACAAACTTTGTTTATTGTACACACGAGATTTTTTTTAGTATTGTAAATTGACAATAAATAAATGCATCCGTATGCATTCTGACTCAATACTCAAATTGTTTCTGTGTCCGTGTGTATGATTAAAATGTTTTGTTTTTTCTTGCCACGTTACGTTAATCGTGAATGTAGGTCAGAGGTTGAAATGAATACCATTGGCCTAATTATAAGTACATATAAAGTAATTGGATTGAAATGTTTTGCGCTATAGAACTTGAAAAAATTTGCTTGTTTTGTAAACTTCAACTCTAATATCGGCGCTGGTTCGAACAGTTCACTCGCCAATGGTTCCGGTGGTGGAACAAGTATTCTCGGACAATGACTTTAAACCGTAGGTCCAGTGTACGTATTTGGCTCGTGTGCATTTTAAAGAACCCAGTACATCCTTCGAGAAGAGTAGTGGGTTACCCCGGTGTACTGGTCCATTAGGTGTAAGTCCCCTTTTGTTAAATGGATATGCCATGTAGGACAGTGATTAAGTTCACTTATTGGCATATCCTTGGCGCTCGTGCCTAAAGAAATAAAATGAAATGAAATGAAACTTATATTTTATTGGTCTTCAGTTGAAAATTAAAACAAGCAAAGGTTCCTCCCCAATTAAAAAAACAAGTACATTTTTTATTAAGAACACATTTTATAAGAACACTGAGGCTGAAATTGCCAAAAAATTATGAACAAATTGAGACCGAGGTAGAATTTCAGATGAGGTTTTTTGTTTAAAAAAAATAGAAAACCAACAAATCTTATCTGTACCTTATTTGCAGTATAGGTGTGACTATATGTTATATACCCTCTATATAACAGTACAGTACGGTAATATGATTGAAAAGTGTTTAAAAATAAGAACAAATTAATAATAATAATTAATAATTAATAATAATAATAGTGTAGTTTTATATAGCGCCATATTCTATTGACTATGATCCATCTAACATAAGATGCTCAGGGCGCACAGTCTGAAATCGGCAAAAAATAAGAACACTGAGCCTGGAAAAAATTAATGTAGTTGTCCTAATACCGTTTGCACAGTAAAAAGTCTGAATAATTGTTGAACTCTGGATCTCAATGGAAGCTATTAGCTTATGAATTATATATATATATATGTATATATATATATATATATATATATATATATAATAATAATTTT